TAAAATTTTAAATGAAACCTCTTTTACTTTATTGTTTAGCCAGAACATATCACAGACACGCCAGGCTTTATTCCAATCTATCTCTCCAAAGACACTGGTCCACTTTACACACTTATGAGTAATTGTATCTCCTGTTATAATATTTCTTAGAAATTTATTCGTATAACTTTGTTTAAGAATATCTATGCCTCCTAAAAAAAAACTTTCTTTAACATACATTACCTCAAAAGAATTACTTCCACAAGATCTTACAAACTGTATAACTGGGTGAGGTATGGCTCTATATGAGTCTAACGCTGGGAAAGACACACGCAGGCGTGTCACTACCGAAAATGTTACACTTACCGAAAATGTAACTTCCGCTACTATGCATGCGTCCACGAAACCACATTTTCTGGCACTTCATTATAACGCATGCGTAATGTACACTTCCACAGGCCCAATACTGCGCATGTATTCACATTTTGCGGCAGACCGTGATTGTGTGATTCAGGGCGTGGGCGTCGTGTATCATCATTCATTGGTCACGTATTGTGAGATGGGTCATTGATGTTTATATTTGCAGTTCAGCCATCACTTTATTGTGGTATTTAAACCATATTGCTTTGCCGATTGTAATATTTGCATCTGTGTGCGCATTGCTTTTAGTGCCTGACAGTATCTTACTTAAAGTTTTTCCCAATGGTATTGCTGAATATATGCCTTTTCTTTAGAAAACGTAATAAAATTGGGGTGTANGTAATTACACTGATACAATTAAGAAAAGAAATGACTAAGGAGAAAAAAAGCAGGCTTAGTTTAAGTAACTTCACAGCACATCGAACTGGGAGTAGTACATAATCATAATGGTAACATTAAAGTAATGTCACCTTTGACTAAAATTGATGGCCATACCCTGTATTTTACGTCGCTCCTTCTGAAGCACATTGGGCATTAAAGGCCTATGCGAAATAAAATCTTTTAAAGTCGAAGGACTCCATCATTACCCGGTTAATTTTTTTATTTTTTTTATTATAACAATAATACAACAATGACAATAGCAACAACGACAATAACAGCAACAACAACAAGAGGGGTACATCTACAATAATGATATAAAAGAGGAATCCAGTTCCGCAAATGCACTCATAGTTCTGGTTGCTTTCCGGCTTAAAAGTCCTTGTAATGTTCCAAAATAATGTTTCAAATCCACCTTGTAATGGGAGATGTTGGGCATTCTCGATGACCATTTACATTTGTGAATATAGAATTTACCTAGTAATATTAAAAGATTTAACATGAAAATGTGACTCTTCTCGATATCTCTTTTATCATAATAAAAAATGACATCTCTTTTACTTATATTTATTTTTGATCCACTCAGTGTAGTAATAAAGATTCAACATTAATCCAAAAAAAATAACATATATACATTAAAAAAAAAAAGATGTAAAACAGATTCCACATACATTCCACAAAAAGAACAAAATTCAGAAAGATCAGCTTTATATCTCTTGAGAAATTGGTTAGTTGGATAGATGATGTGTATAATTTTAAAATATACTTCACTAACTTTGTTATTAACACAATATTTGTTGTTATACGTCCAAATCAATTTCCAGTCAATATTCTCAAATTGGCTATTCCAAAAGTATTTATGTCGAAATGTTGCAGGGCAATGAATCAAACATCTTAAAAATTTGTTATTACATTTTCTGTCTTTGATATCAATACCATTTAAACAAATTTCTTTACTCATTGAATACTTAAAGGAATCACTAGAATCCTGCAAAAGTCTCACAAATCCTGCTGGTATTGCGTCAATTACAATACTAAATTCACGTGGAGGTATTGGAATACCAAATTTCTCTAAGAATTCAGAGTATGTAAACAAATATCCTTCTTTGTTTATCAATTGAGAGATCATTTGTATATCGTTTTTAACCCAGTTATCATAGAAAAATGATTTATTCTTATATTTAACATATTTGTTATTCCATATTAGCTGTTTATGAGGAGAAAAATTATGTTTATATATAAGAGTCCAAAATAATAGAGCCTGTCTATGAAAATTAGATAACTGAATGGGTTAACTGAAATCTTCTCTTTCCTCTCGCTGTCGACATTCTTATCAAAAATCAACAGACGATGAAATGTGACACGATGCCGTAAAAAATAGCACGCCTCCTTCCAGAAGTCGCAAGCGTGCGCATGCGTAGTAGCGGAAGTTACATTTTTGCATGAACCGGATCCGGAAGCTACAGGTCCAGTAGGGTCACGGGTGTATAGTTTGTGATTGGGCGGCCACCGTCACGCAGGTCCCGATAATCTCGCGAGGGCGAACGTCATCAGTCCTCGTGACAGTGCGCGAAGATGGTGCACAAATATGCTGCCAGCTTAGTGATCACGTATACGTGATAGTGTGATATTTGTTTTTGGCGGTCAAATTTAAAACCTTTCGAAAAATCCAATATCTAAAATATTATATTTTTCGTGGTGGAATGTGTATATGCGATCTCGACATGAACACAATTCGATATCTCATTTATTTTCAATATCTCGGTACCAGATATAGGTACGTTTTTTAATTATTTAATTATAAGTCGTTTTTTTTTTTTTTTTTTGCTATCGTAGCTATTTGAATACATTAAATCTCTGACGAATACTGCTTTAAGAGTGACTTTCTAATGTACTAACTTTTTAAGTGCACTTAAGTAGGTGGCATAATTTTCATTTTTTTCAGCGGTGTGATGAAGGCTCCTTCTTTCCAACCAGTCCAAGGGGTTCAGAATCATTTGGAGGTTAGTCTGAACATGTGTTACTAATTATTTTCGGTGATTTTGGGGTAAAATATTAATCGACAAATCGACTTCATTAGTTAAATATTAGCGGAGCTCTGGAATGGTACCCTAGCTGCCGTGAATGGCACCCCCCCCTGTATCTCTGTCTCTGGTCATTATATCTCAAAATGCTTTGGACAGTACACTTTGTGTGGCAAAGTATACTACCTGAGCAAATTTCATTTATGTAGGACATACAGAGCCAGAATTCAAAGGGGGTGCAATTCACGGCAGGTACTCTGCCGTGAATGGCACCCCCTGCATTTTTGTCCTAGATGATCAGATAATATTTTTTTATAATACACACAGTGGACCTAAAGTTGTTACCTGAGCAAGCTTCACAAATTAGTTTCAGTGCAGCTAAACTTGAAAAGGGTGTATACCCTTATACATAAGGACGCACCCCTCTCCACCCCTTCATGTTCCTGTCAGATTGCAATATTCCAAAGTCTTTAATCTGACTGATAGATTTTGGCTAATGGCAGTAAGCCTGGCTATACAGCATTTTAAACTGTATTTGAGAAAGTACTTCTTTACACAGCGTGTAGTATGGAAGCTACTGTTAGTGTAGTGCAAGCTAAAACCTTGGGTTCCTTTAAATCAGAGCTAGATAAAAATTTTAACAGCTCTGAGCTATGAGTTGAGTTCTCCCCAAATGAGCTAGATGGGCCGAATGGCCTCCTCTCGTTTGTAAATTTCCTGTGTTCTAATGTTCTTATTTGCACTTCTGGTTAGATACAGAACTGCATTTCATTGCACTTGAACTTGTGTCATGTACGATGATGATAAAGTAGAATCTTAATCTCTGTTTTTTCAACACAAAGAAGTCACATGTGATGACAAAAGTTCCATGTGAATTACGTCAATTGCTCACACCACCATATCAGAGTCAGTTGACAGCCAGTGTTCTAGACTCTTTTAAAAATTTTCTTCACTATTTTTGGCTGCAGCTTACAGGTGGAAGCTGAATTTTCACTTGAGTCTTTAATTTTCATTCTCCTTCTGCTCAGCAAATTCTAACTTTTTGTTGCTGCTCCTAATTGTTTTTGAGCACCACGTTGTCCTTTTTCAGGTCTGCAACTTCTTGAAGACAAAAGTCCAGAGATTTTTAAAAAATTTTCAATTAGGGCAGTGTTGTAATGGACTGCTTTGTCTGTCTGGTCTGCTTTTTCATTTATTTCTCCAAAGACTGTCACAATTGTATTTTGCAGGTCTGATATCATTGTTTGGTACTTTACCTTGGTTGGAGTTGTTCTGTTCAGATTTTTCTTGCTTTGCCTTAAGTTTAACAGGAGCTGATGTACATTCTTGTTTAGCAATATCATGACAAGAATATGAAACTTTTTTGTCCCTGTTTTTTTTGTAACATATATGTCCTCTAATACTGTTAATTCCTTTATGTTGACAGTTTCAATATGTGGTGTTTTTCCTTGGAATTTGTTTTCCAAAGACATTCACATATAATTTTAGGCACCAAAACAGCAAAACCAGATAGTGTAAAAATCTCAACATTTTAACTCTGAGCTTGGCACAAAGTGACTAATAAAGCCACCATCTTGTGCGGCAGGTGTGTGCTGACTTGTATACATGCAGCTAAATAGCATGTTTCACAGCATGAGTACTGCATATTTGCGCAAACAGGAACTAATTTACTGGCCACTGTGATGCACACATGTCCACTGTAGGCTAAGACCTACGTCACTTTTGTTATCTAGTTTCCATGTGTGTATGGGGATACTTTTGTACAGAGAATGATTAGAGTGGAGAGGTTGTCGTCATCATAACAAAGCAGGTTGGGGACGATTCTATACAGGATGTAACCTACCTGTAATAATACAGTGGTACCTCAGTTCTCAAACTCATTACAACTCGAATTTCTTAAAAGTCGATCCAACCAGTTTGAAAAAAAATTACCTAAAACTCGATCTGAATCTCGGAAGTCAAACCGTGAACACCGATCTAAGAACTTGTACGTGCCAGGAAATGAGTCACGCTGCACGTCTCTCGGCGGAATCATAGGGTAACGCATCATTCTCAGCCTCGCATTCACTGTGATAGCACCATGCATGTTTACACTAGCTGAATACATATATTTAGACAGTAAAAACACATTTAGACAATGATAGACAGTAACAGTAATATATAATAAAATACATTTAAAAATAAAGATTTCTTATTAATTATTTTAATATCAATAATTAAGCATTAATACGTTTAATTATAATAATATTGTTGTACAGAGCGGGATGGAACTGAGACAAAGGCGCAGATGTCAGGGTATCGGGGAATACGGGGTTTAATTACAGGTAAGGCAGACAAAACGCAGACGGACAATACAATGACCGGATATAATAAACCATTAATAAACCATTAATACATTTAATTATAATAATATTGTCGTGCTTAGCCGGTGTTCTGTCGATTTATGCTGCCTTGTCGAAAAATGCTACCGTAGTGCTAATCGATAACCATAACTCTTACCCTAACCCTAACCCCCTCAAATCCCCTAAAACCCTTACCTTAACCCTAACCCCTAAAACCTAACCCTAATCCCAAGATGGTGGAACTGCACATGCGCAGAAAGGCTCGATAGCACGTCTCAATAGGTAGGATTTTATTCCGGGACGGAACTGAGACAAAGGCGCAGACGTCAGGATATTGGGGAATACGGGGTTTAATTACAGGTAAGGCAGGCAAAACGCAGACAGACAATACAATGATCAGACTGGGGAAACAAACTGAAATGCGGACTAAACACACACGACTAATGACAACAACCAGAAACAGCTGATCACACGGGGATCCCAAACGAGGTTAACGAGGGGACGTGGCACGAGGAAGGAGCGGACATTCGGGGCAGGACACATTGTTTTTTTAACCTTACACATTGTTTGGATACATTTTTCTTACTTTACAAATTACTGTTTTGATAAATGAGCTTAGATGTGTTTAGTACAGTATATGCTCTTCTTGTTTTATCCTGTTCACTTTGTGTTTAAATGCTTAAAAAACACATATTTAGATGTATTTTTTTGGGACTGGGAACCAATTAATTGGTTTTCCATTATTTCTTATGGGGAAAATTTGATCAGAACTTGAACTTTTTAGAATTCGATCCGGAGTTCTGAACGGATTAAATTCGAGTTCTGAGGTACCACTGTAATAGTAATAAAATGTATTATTATTATTATTATAATTTGAAGCGCCTTTCAAAGTGCCCAAGGACACTACAGTAAAAGCAAAACATAAAATATAAAAGTAGTTAGACTATAAACAACAAATAGGTAGCATGTAGAGACAAAGACACATTGATTAAGAGACACACCAGCACCAGATTGACATGAACCAAAACAACATAAAATAAATAGAAAAGAAAATTGCAAAAAGTGAAGAGTAGTCTGAGTAGGTCAGAGTGAAGAAGTGAGTTTTGAGCATGGATTTGAAGATGGAAAGTGAAATTCCAAAAAAGGTGGGACGTTTTGCAAATTGTAAATAAAAACAGAATGCAATGATATGGAAATCTCATAAACCCATATTTTATTCATAACAAAATATAGAAAACACATCAGATGTTTAATCTGAGAAAATGTATCATTTTAAGGAAAAGATAAGGTAATTTTGAATGTCATGGCAGCAACACATCTCAAAAAAGTTGGGACAAGGCCATGTTTACCACTGGGTGGCATCCCCTCTTCTTTTAACAACAGTCTGTAAATGTCTGGGGACAGAGTTGCTCAGTTGCTCAAGTTCTGGGAGAGGAATGTTGTCCCATTCTTGTCAGATACAGGATTCTAGTTGCTCAACTGTCCTAGGTCTTCTGTGTCGTAATTTTCGTTTTATGATGCGCCAAATGTTCTCAATGAGTGAAAGATCTGGACCACTGGCAGGCTAGTTAAGTACCCGCACCCTTCTTCTACGAATCCATTATATTGTAATTGATGCAGTGTGTGGTTTGGCATTGTTATGTTGGAAAATGGAAGGTCTTCCCTGAAAGAGATGTCATCTGGATGGCAGCATATGTTTCTCTAGAACCTGGATATACCTTTCAGTATTGATGGTGCCTTTCCAGATATGCAAGCTGCCCTTGTCATATGTACTAATGCACCCCCATACATCAGAGATGCTGGCTTTTGAACTGAGCACCGATAATACGCTGGGTGGTCCTTCTCCTCTTTAGTCTGGATTCTTTGAATGATAGTTTTAACTGGCATCTTTGGATGGCACGGCAAATTGTGTTCACTGATAACATTTTCTGGAAATATTCCTGAGCCCATTTAGTAATTTCCATTGCAGAATCATGCCTATTTGTGAGGCAGTGCTGCCTAAGGGCCCGAAGATCATGGGCATCCAGAATACTTGTCCCTTACACACAGAGATTTCTCCAGATTCTCTGAATCTTTTGATTATGTTATGTACTGTAGATTATGATATTTTCGACCTCTTTGCAATTTTACACCGAGGAACTTTTTTCCTGAAATTGCTCCACTATTTGTCGATGCAATATTAGGGGGATTGGTGATCCTCTGTCCATCTTTACTTCTGAAAGACACTGCAACTCTAAGACGCTCTTTTTATACCCAGTCATGTTACTGACTTGTTGCCAATTTACCTAATTATTTGCAAATTGTTTCTCCAGCTGTTGGGTTTTTGCACCACTAACTTTTCCAGCCTCCTATTGCCCCTGTCCCAACTTTTTTGAGACATGTTGCTGTCAATGAGCCAATATTTTTCACTAAATAGCAAAATGTCTCACTTTAAACATTTTACATGTTTTATATGTTCTGTTGTGAATAAAATATAAGTTTATGAGATTTCTGTGTCATTGCATTCTGTTGTTATATACAATTTACCCTACGTCCCAACTTTTTTGTAATCGGGGTTGTACGTAGTGCAAGTGGGAGGTTGTTCCAGAGTTTAGGGCCAGCCACACTAAATGCCCTGTCACCCATGGAACGGAGATG